ACCTTCCTCACAGATCCTGCAAACTCCTTGTCCTGCTCATGGATCCTGCAAACTCCACACCTTCCTCACAGATCCTGCAAACTCCTTGTCCTGCTCATGGATCCTGCACACTCCACATCCTCATGGGTCCTACAAATTCCACATCTTGCCCATGGATCCTGCAAACTCCACATCTCCATCCCAGTGCCCCCACAAAGCCCTGCAGGCAGAGGGAAGCTGGAGGGAGGGAGGGAGGGAGGGAGGGAAGGAGGAGGCTCCAGCCCTTACCTGTTCCTGCAGGCTCACGGCTCGTCTGCTGCGGCCCCCCAGGAGCCACTGTGGGGTGACACGTTCTCCATGGGACGGTGGCCCTGGGGAGGAGAAGTCCTGGTGAACAGACCCTGCCAGACCCTGGGAGCTGGAGCTCCTCCACAGCCACATCCAGAGGGAACTCGGGAACATGCAGAGCCTCCTCTTAGGGATGTTTCTGGGGATGGACACCGGAACGAAGCCAAAGCATCGCCCCTTTCCCAGCTCAGCACCCTCATTTCTGGCCCAGCCTTAGTCTTGGAAGCCTCCCAAGTCCCAAACCAGTGGCCTAAATCCCCTGAATCCCACCCTGGAGAAGCAGCTGGCACATGGGTGCCATCCCTGGAAGTGTCCAAGGCCAGGTTGGATGGGGCTTGGAGCAACCTGGGAGAGTGGAAGGTGTCCCTTCCCATGGCAGGGGGTGGGACTGGATGGTCTTTAAGGTCCCTTCCAACCCAAACCATTCCACGATTCCATGATTTATGGGACGGGCAAGTGTGGTTCCATCCCCCCAAAATGGAGTTATCATCTTTCCAGCCCGAGCTGGGCTCGAGGAGGGAGCGGAGGAGCCGAAATAACTGCAGCACATTCCTGGTTTCTCTGAGCCATCCCAGCTCCCCCCGGGGTGGAGCAGCACAAGCAATTCCTTGGCTCCATCCAGAGTCAGACAGACTTTCTAAGATTATTTTGTTCCTAAACAATGTGGCTGGATTTGATTGCAGCAGTGGGAGCAGCCACGGGTGACTTAAGCCTGGATGACAAGGGAACCAAAAATTCCAACCTGAGGATGCTGCTGAGAGGGGTCGGGGTCGAACAAAAATGTCAAGGATTGGGGTCACCTTGCCAAGCCAAACGTTGTCAGGGAGAACTTGGATGGAATAACGTTCCCCAGCAAAGTTATTTACTCAGGGAGTGGAATAACAAGGCTTAGGGCTTAATAATTTTGTAGGGTTGTTTTGGTGCCCTGTGCAGTGATGGGGGGGTGGTTTGGCCGGAGGAAAGATGAAGTTATTGAAAAGACAAAGGGAAAAAACAAAAAAAAAGGTGGAGTTCTGAGTTGGGAATTGCAGATGGGTGTTTAACGGGATGGAGCCACCCAGCCTGGCCACCCCTGTCCCCCCAGCACTATCTCAGTGTGGTATTTAATCAGCTCCCATTATATTTAGCCTGCTATCAGATTCCAGGAATAACTGCAGATAAGGTGGTGGCACAATCCCAAATTCCCTCTCCTCACCTCCTCCCAGAGCAGGAGCCAGGCCCTCCAACCCCCAGCCACACACAGGCCTCTGGGTCTGGGAGTATTCCTGAATATTCCTGAAATACTCCGCTCGGATTCAGCCACTGCTGCCTTCCCAGGGCAGAGACAAGGAATAAAAACCCTCGAATTTTAATTCCCAAAGGGAGAAGGGCAGGGATTCTCTGCCTCTCCTGCTCCTGCAGTCTCTCCCACGCTGTCTGGGGAGAGGATGGGACACGAGGGGCGGCCGCTTTCCTGGGATTACTGGGCTGGGCTTTGGGCCCCATTGCCAAAATCCCTTAGTTATGAGATTTCAGATACGATATTTGAAATTTCTCCCTGTTTTGTCTGTGGCTTTTTCTGGGAATCTCAGAGACTCCGAGCAGGAGACGGGGCCTTAAAAAAAATCTAACTCAAATAAACCCAAGTCTAGCGCAGAGGGGGTTTCCCACACCCCCCTTCTCTTTATTTCCTGGAGAACACACACACATTCCCAGCCCTATTTGGGAATGCTGCGTTGGGAACAGCACTGCTTTGGCGTTTGGGGATGTTGGCACCCTATATTTTGGGGATGGGGAGCCCCGAGTGAGCCCTGCAGAGCCCAAATCCCACCAGAGCAGGCAGCTTTCCCAGCTCCACTCTTTATCCAAACAGAGATTCCTGGCTCCCACCACCCTCCCCGTTGCTCTCCCAACTCTCTCGGAGCCGCTGGAAAACTTTCAGCGGCCGCCGAGAACCCGGCAAAGCTCAGAAGTTAAAAAAAAATAACAACAGCAACAACAAAAAAATGTGCTTTGGGTGGAGACACCTCGGCCCTGAGTTCCCGGTGGGGTTGGGGAAGGAATTAGGGATGGGGAAGAAGCTGCGGGAGAGGCTGAAGTGAAACTGGTGTGTCTGTCCCCCCCCCTCGCTCTCCTCCGACGGGAACCTCCGGGGAGAAAAATGTATTTCCTCAACGACCGAAAAAGCCACGTTTCAGCCCGAAAACACGGAGCAGCTGCACGAGCCCCGGAGCTCCTTCCCGGTGCCTCCGCCCGGAGCCGGGACGGGATTGGGACGGGACGGGAATGGGATGGGGACGGGATGGGGGGGGTCTGAGCCGCTTTGGGGGGGTGAAAGCCGAACCCCCCCTCTCCCTGGGGGTCGCCTGATCCCGTCCCAACAGGACCATGTAGAGTCACAGCGGCGAGCGCCGGGCTGGGGTGGGAGAACGGGCATTTGGGGGGGGGGATCCCCCCGAGCGGGCGGTGGGATCGCAGAGATCCCACTCTCCCCATCATCCCTCCTCCCCATCCATCATCCCGCGGACCCTCCAACTCCCCCGAAACCCCCCCAACACCCCCTCCGGGACCCTCTTACCTGCCGTCCCCGGCGGGGGGACCCCCAGCAGGACCCCCAGGAGGACGAGGCGGTGCCCCCAGCCCGGGGGGGGGCCCGGGCCGGCCATGCCGCCGCCGCCGGGGCTGTCACCGTGTCACCGCCTCCGCCCGCGCTCCGAACCTCCCCTTCTTATGCCGGCGGGTCCCTCCCTCCGCCCGCCGCCCCCCGAGCGCTGCCCGGCCCGGGCGGGGGGCGGCGGGGAGGGGAAGGGGAAGGGGAGGGGGTGGCTTTGTCCGCCCCTAATTTATGGCTGCGAGTTTTGGCCGCTTAATGAGAACCAGAGCCGGCGGCTCGGAGGCTCCCAGGCTCCCCCCGCGCCTTCCACACATCCATCCATCCATCCATCCGTCCGTCCGTCCGACCCTCCATCCCCACCCCGGGGGGGGTTCCCGCTGCTGCTTCGCCCCGTTTCTGTCCCGGGAAAGGCGGGAGGGAGGGAAGGGGGGTCCCCATAGGCTGCCTGCGCGAGGGAGGGATGGGGGGAAAAAAGCGCGATAAAAGCGATTATTAAATACAAGTAATAGAAAAATAAGCAAATAAAAAGGAAATAAAAATAAAAGGAAATAAAGGGAAATAAGATAGGA